AAGCTCCATGGCATATGTCATGAGTCATCTCCAATAAATCTGCATAGATAATGTAGCTATAATGTAGTTATTAAAATTCTCCCCTCTGACTGTACCCTCCTGCTGCAGCGCTGTCTATTTCTGTCTCTGTCTGCAGTAGATGAACAGTCTGTGAGTGTGTTACTTTGAGCTGTGACTGTAAGTCTAGACCGAGTTCCTCGCACACTCGCAGCCAAACAGAATTGCTGAAGCGTGACCAGGTAGAATGTGACTTCGTCGAAGGTCACTGTGATATGCAAATATTTCATATTGGCTATGATTTCTTGTCATAGTCTTCATAAAATTAAGATGACATTCACAGGAGACATTCACCTGTTAGTGTGCACCAGGGTTCGCTTGATGTCACAGTTTGGTTTAATGTTTAATGTCACAATTTGGATTAAGTGAATGCTGCATTGTGAATGTGGGCGTATAAAAAGGGTGTTCTGAGGATAATACAAATGCTGGTTTGTTTAGTCTTTGATTTTTGAAGGCGTATCCAGCTAGTTTTATCCCAGAGTCAGCTTACTGTATTTATAAGATGTAATTCACAAAAAATGCACATTTTGTCCTCATGTTGTTTCAGACCAATTCAATTTTAGTTTATTAGAGATTTCTCTAAAGCTTAAAGGTATAGTTCACCCAAAAATGACACTTACCGCCTAACTTATTTACATTCAAACAATATTCGGTTTATATACTTTTTTTGTCAGATGAACCCAGTTTGAGTAGTTTATAGGTAACGTATGTAAGTTTGACACCCAGTGGTTGAACTATGTATTGCACTCCTGGTTTAAAACGCACTCAAACGCAGGTTGCCAGATTGACAACATCAGGACTGATTAAGTCGTGTTCTAAATAAAAGCATCGTCACGCGACAGAAGGAATATTTTCCATATTACAAGGAGTTCCTAACCAACACCTGAAATTAATATTTTAGAAACAGCTTCTATTTCTTTCTGCTGAACAACATGATAAACTGACAATGATCACCTCAGGTACACATCATGTGCTTTATTTTGTGTTAAATGCTAATAATGTGAGTTTGAACGCCATTTTACATGACATTTATTGCCATACTACTGAAAGCAGCTGCAGATAGTACGCATCAGATCTTGAAAATAAAATAACCCATTCGTAATTGAACTTTAGAGCTGTTACTCAATGCAAGCCAACACATATCAGTAATTTAGCATGTTTAAAGAGGTTTATTGTATTAATTAGATTATAAACCTTAACATTTCATTGTAGTGCAGTGAGTGCACTATTCTGTGTTTTTGTATAGCTGTGTTTAAATGGATGTCATGCTTCGTCTGGTGCAAACAGCCAATTTGTTATCACTTCATATCTTGTCAAGTAGCGTGTTATTAGTACATAGTGTTACAATGTAACCTGCTCACCTAATATTTACTTTCGTAATATTTATATTTCTTAATTATTAACCACCTCTTGTAACTCTGAATCCTTGTCTCATTTTGCAGTCTGCTACTGTTCACAGATGGTTGTATTCAGTCACGGATGCACACTTTAGCCTTCCTGACTGAATAAATGAAGTACGCTGTTTTCCACCCAGGTAACCAGGGGTGTTAAATATAATTGGCTAAACTGGCATTGGGTGAGTTAGACCAAAACAAAGACAGACGTTCCTGCATAAAACACACTTTTTTAAGTAGAATATCTGACTTTAGCATTGTTTTTTAGCTAAACAAGAATGTTAATTTAGCATGCTACTTAAACATCTGCAGACATATTATGGTATTTTTATGCTTTAGAAAAGTCAAAAACTTATACACACATGCAGCACCTTTAAAATTATATCCTGGGTCTTGTATGTAATTGGATAGAGGCTTTTATTTTGTAGCTTCCAAATTCCATCGTCAGACTAACCCATACACCGCCAGGAGTTTAAGCATATCTTATGAAGCAGATCAGTGTGTTTTTGTAAAAGAGATATTTCTAATCTTTAAATTATAAACTCCAATCAAGTTATGTTTGACTGATACATTCAACGTGTGACATTAGATGGTTAGACACATGTATGCAACATTGTAAGAGTTTTATACTGTTAAATGTCGTACAGTAAAACCAACAAGTTTTCTTATTCGTCATCATCTTCTGTGCTTAACAGTCTGGTAAGTTGTTCCCATGAGGCATGTCTATTTCCAGAGCTTCATCTATGAATGTGTCTAACTTTATGCACCATATGATTGTATACGTCAGTCAAGCATAACATGCATTCGGCCACCACCAGAAATCAGTGGTTGGAGTTATAATTAAAAGAATTGAAATAGTGCTGATACAAAAACATTTATAGGAAATTTGTTAACCCCCTGATGGTATATAGGTTAGTTAGCCAACAGATGTACATGTTTTTGAAAGCTTCTCAACATTTTTATACAGTATTAGAGAGCTGGAAAAAATGTGAAAAATGCAAAAGTTATACATGGATGGAATGAGGGTTTATGGAGTAAATTATGGAGTAATTTTAATTTTTGGGTGAATTGTTCCCTAAAAAGACCCCAAAAATACCCATTAAGGTATGAACATTTTGAAATTTACATGTTTGGATGTATAAATCCTTTAAAGTTTGAAAGTAGTCATTTTGACACACTTAATCATCTGAAGTGCTTACTTGCTGGAGCGGCACTCATCAAAGTGAATCCACAAGCATCATTCAAATCACCACATTTATCAGTAAGATTATTCAAAACATTTACATGGTTTATTTTTCATATAAATGCATTAATAGCAGGAGAGATTGGGCAGTGAGAGTACTAATTAACTACATTAAATCAAATGTATAAGAGATTGAATACAATGTTTAAATATACTAAGTGTTTGATGCAATCATACATATTTGACATTATACAGACCTGTAGCCAGGGCAGGGTTAGGTGGTTGTAAATGATATTTGATGTAATTGATGTATGTGATGTATTTGACGTAAATGATAATTGATGTACTGTAAATCTTTTAGAAAATTGTGGTTATGATGACCACTCAGCAAGTTAGTTCTGCAAAAAATAGTGCTTAAAATGTCACTAAATTGCAACCCAATTAAACCTCATAATTACTGTAAATAGAAAATAAAGGTAAATAACTGAAAAAAGATCCACCACTTTCACCGGGCTGGCTTCGGACCTGATAATTCTGTTTTTAGCTTTTGAATCATGAATTTCAACCAAGCAAATCATCCTTAATTGACCATGACTCTATCCAAAAATAATCCAAAATCACATTCTGTTTGAGTAGGTACTACATTTGATTATGGACTCTTTTCACATTTGCGAGTTTCTCAGCAGCAGAGGTCATCATAGTAACTTAGAGTGCAGTGAATGAGTACAACAAATATTTTTTTTACAATCCCATTTGCTGAAATAATAAAAAAAAACACTACAAAGATGTAATTAAGACTTTCAGAAAAATGAAAAAATTGTGTGAGACTGATAACGGCAACCAGAAGATAGAACAATGTCAAATTTACCGTCCTGCCCCCATACAGGCTGCTTTAGAAACACCTCGCACAAGTGCTAATTCATTTTTGGTAAATTGATGCAAATATGTTATAATACATATGTAAATAAATACATATACATGTACATGCATTAAAAAAAAAGCTAAATATTAAATACTTTAATGGATTTAGGATTATGATGACCTTTATACTCGTCATAACAGTCTTGGAAAAAGGGTGCATACTTCATTAACAAGTTAATGAATAATCACCATATTTTTTTTTTTTTGTTACATGGCTTATCAGTCTTAGATCCCACTCAAAAATTATGTCCCATGGCCTCATAAGTGCACACTTTAGAATATTGCCAAAAGTAGGTTAAGTAGGTCATCTGGATACAGCTTTTCAAATACTGTGATTTTAGACATACAATACTATTAGGCTCATTTACGGTTTTTCATGTCATTTTAGAACCCATATGTTTTTTATTTTAATTCATATAAGCTTTTTTTAAACTGTATATCCTACTGTCTTATTTGAAATAAGCAGAAATAAATGTTTTATTTCAATTAAAATGTTACAGTAAATGTTGCCTACAGCAGACATTGAAGCCTTCGGCACAGACATTTATGAAGTTAAAGTGTATTTCAAATAACTGTTGTACCTTTTTTTCAGTTTTTCACGAAGAGACCTAAAAGAAGTCACAGTTTCTACAAAAATATTATTGGCAAAAAAAGCAAAAACAAGCCTTAAATCATCATATTAGTATGATAATGCAAGTTCATAGTGTTGTCATGATAAAAAAAAAAAAAAAGATTTATAACTAACAGGGTGTTTTCTTCTCTGTTTTGACCCTCTCTATGAAACACTTGACTTTGGTTTGGTGATTGGGTAACAGTTTTGCATGTTGATATAATAGATGAGTGCTCTTATGATATTGTGTCTTTAAAACAATTCTATATATAACGTTTTAAAAAGCTTGTATGAAATTCTCACATTTTATGAGCCGTAAACATAAATCCTGCCTTATGTTCGCATTACACACTGAAAAATATGCAACATTATAGATGTAAAATGGGTTGTTTCATGTTGACTTTGAAGTGCGTTAATTGATTTGATAACGTTTTGAGAGCACAAACCCAATTTTATATAATGATATTTGCGATAAGAGTTTAAGTGCGAAGGTTTTTTTTCAAATGTTAATTGTCCATATTAATTAATAATTCAGCAGTGAAACACTATTATCACATCAACATACATTTAGACCACATTATGTTAATGGAAAAGTTTGAGCAGACATTATAGACTGAACTTTGGTCCAGAAAGTCTGAGGTGAAGGTCAGAGTTTGTTTTGCCATTGAATCACACAGAAAATCCTTTCAGTTCTTTTTTTCCATATCAAATGAAAACCCTGCTCTAAATGTGTCTCTTTTATCCGTCTTTTTCATCGCAATAGTCCGTCCACTTCTATAGCAGATTGTCAATGCATAAATGACTGAACCATGAACCTGTCTTTATGTTCCAACAGGACATGGAGGAACACATGGCCTTCATCATGACTGTGCCTACAACACTGGCCATTTTTTTGGCCATCTTCATTCTTGTCTGCATCGAGTCTGTCTTCAAAAAGCTCCTTCGCCTCTTCTCCCTGCTCATCTGGGGCTGTCTGGTTGCCATGGGTTACCTCTTCATGTTTTTCGGTGGGATCATCTGTCCGTGGGACCAGGTGAGACTTGAGTGACAGCACTTTCATAGCTCTCCAGTTATTTTATTTTTTTTCATTGTCCGCCTTCGACCTCTATGGCTATCAATCTATAATTTGCCTTATTGTCACACTGAGAATGCCAGTGTCTGATTTTGCCAGTAGAAATGTCCTATTTATATGTTGTCAGTGACAGAGTGCAAACATACACGTCATATTTTCAAGCTAAGAATGATGGATTTTGATCAGGCAATCAAACCACTACTTTTCAAGGGCACATATGATTCAAAATCAACTTTTGGAAGCTATTTTGACAGAACTGTGTGTGAGTATAATGTATTCACTGTCATATTAGAGTGCAATAAACAAAACAAGTCTCTTTATTAAATTTCCTGACAATAAATAGAATCCAAATACTAGTGATTTTGAGGCCGATCATAACGTGACATAGGAATGGGGTTTCCCCCTCCCCCCCCTCAAATTGATTGACATGCGTTTTAACATGTCTCCGTAGTAATGCATATAAACATGTCCACAAAATAGGATTTGCAAAGAAACTGGGATTAAAAGATCTGTTCAAACTCTTTGTGATCACTTTAATAATTAGTTTTACACATTTTTTTAAACAGTGTCTTTGAAATAAAACAAAGACTGTAAAATTACCATGTAATTCCTAACCACTAGAATCACCATAGCAGCATAGTGTCAGTAAAGTCATGTATGTGTGTACTGCAAATGTTGTAATGGCTTTTTTGTGTGCCTTATCATTTTAGAAAGGCTTGAATAAACTCCACCAGAAATTCATCAAATAAACTTAATTGGTATTTTTGACTAATGAGCTGGATTTCTGCTTCATACATGTCTGTCTCTGTCACTGACTGCTGTTTATCTGGTGTAACACATAAGAAGCAGACACGCATGTGGGAACAGTGGGAGGGGAGAACCAGCTCATTTACATTTAAAGGCACAAGCTACAAAAATGGCTACACTGTCCTCAGAGCTCAAATAGTCAATATCTGCATTGTATTATAAATAAGCTGAATATTATTTTGAGCTGAAACTTTACAGACACATTCTGGAGACACCAAAGGCTTATCTTACATCTTGTAAAAGGGTTAAATTAGGAGCCCTTTCATTAACCAAAAGTACATGTCTGTATAGGTTCTACATTTGAATTTGAATTTACTTTACTACCATTAAAAAGTATTTATTTCCATTTATATTGAATTTGAGTAGTGTGAAGGAAATCCAGATATATATCCACCATATTGTCATTATCACATGAACTACCAGATTCTTTATTCATATTCATAAATCTTCTCCCATGGCCTCATGGGATAGCAAAATGTCTATTGAATGCTCACTTCAGAATCCAGGTACTTCTAGACTCAATCCAGGCTTTGGCTCATGCTTTCTTACATACTATATGTAGTAAAGAAAAATGCAATTTTATTATTAGCTATTTGTTTAAAGTAATGATCGCTTATATCAGCAAATATTAATTATTTTGATTAAAGATTTTAAGGTGTTAAAAAAGTTCATTTTGAATGAATGCAGATCGGTCTAAACAAGCTAATTTGTCAGATTTATGAAGGATAACAGCTATGATTGGATGATTTAAATAAACTAATATAAAAGCTAATATGATATTGTTTGTTTGTGATGTGAAGTGACACTGGACAAGGGAGTGTGGATCCAAATGCAGGTTTATTTAGCAAAACGCCAGGCAAGCAACGGTCAACACAGGGCCAAACAGACGTATACAGGCAAATCCAGATTCATAGTCAAAAATAGCAGGCGAGTGGTCAGAAGGCAGGCAGCAGACAGAGATAAACAATAAAAAAACAAATCAAAGGGAGGGTCAAAACCAGCAAGACAAGGCAAGGAAAACACGTTGTAATGTCACAGAAACAGATAGCAAGACTTAGCCTTGAAGTGTGGGTATGTGTTCTGTAAAAATAGCACTTGGTTCATGAATAGCTTCAGCTGTGTCTGTCTGCAATCATGGGGATCTAGGCCAGGTGTGTAAGTGGTGCATGACCGGATCTTGTTGTCCATTTAATGGCGGATTTGTAGTTCTATGCAATACTGGGTGTTTACCAGTGATCTGCACTGGCTGGATCGCTAGTGATCGTGACAAAAGAGTTGACGTCCAATTGAAATTGTACCCCAATGTCATGGGACACTGCATTTTGTTTGTAAATGAAAATTTGTTTGACGTCAGAACCCAACGTCAGGCCAATGTCAGTGTCCAACGTCTGACAGACATTTAGGTTACTTTCCAATGCAACCAAAAAACAACTACATATCAACGTCCAACGATGTTACAGCTTGATGTGTGTAGATGTCACCAATATGACCTCTATCAGACGTTGGATTTTGGTTGTCATACCACACGGATAAATGTCAGTATTTGACGTCAATATGACGCTGGTTTAAGATGTTGGCGCAATGTTGGATTTTGGTCACTTTCCAACACAACCTAACAACAAAATATCAAAGTGTGTTCATGTTACAGCTTGACATTGTGTAGAAATTTCCACTAGGACGTCTATCAGACGTTGGATTTTGGTTACCATACCTGACGAATAAATGTCAGAAATTGACATCAATGTGACGTTGGATTAAGGTGTTGGCTCCACATTGGATTTTGGTCACTTTCTAACCCAACCTAAAATCAACAAAATATCAACATCATTTCACGTTGTTATTGGATATCAAAATTAAATTGTCTTCAGTAGCTGGCAACCTAAATCTAACGTAATATTAACGTCTTATTGCTTTGTGTCTGCTGGGAAGATATTTTAAAGAATGTTGGATAAAATCTATGGTAGAAACAATAAATGCTATGAAATCAATGGCTGTTTTTCCCAACATACTTCAGGATACTGTATTCTCCTTTGTGTTAGGGTGCTTTTACACCTGCCTTATTTAGTTTGGTTGAATCTCACTAGAGTTCGTTTTACCCCTTGGTGCGGTTCGTTTGGGCAGGTGTAAATGCAGCAATCATACTCGAGTGCGCACCAAAAGCGGACCAAAAAAGCGTACCTGCTTGAAGAGGTGGTCTCGGGACGGTTTCAAACGAACCCTGGAGCGGGTAGGCTGATGCGCAGTGCATTATGGAGGTAAAAAATATGGAGGAAAAATTTTTGTTGACAGCGCTTTACCAACAGAGAGAGGGAAAAACATTACCTGATGGATCTTTGGTAATATTTCCGCAAGATGACCATGTCGCAGTTTCGCTAAATTAATTCACGCCTCCTCCTGAAGTGACGTGCGATGCATTAAAATATTGTTTTCCAGCTGCGGCCACGCTTCATTCTTGAAATGTATAGTTTGTCGTGAATTCTGACCAATCCATAAGCAGTTTAGGAACTATGTCAGTTCAACAACATCTGGCCAGTGAGAGATGTGGATTTTGTCACTTGACTGCATTTTAGTTCTTTTCAACTGGTTCGGACCAAAGCCAGCAGTGTGGTGTGAAAACAACCCAAAGACGGCAGAAAATGCAACAATGTATCATTTATTGCTCTTGGTCCGGACCAAATGAAGCGAACTACAGATGTGAAAGCACCCTTAAGCAGAAGAAGGAAACTCAAACAGGTTTGAACAAGTAAAGGATGAGTACATTTTTTGGGTGAATTATTCCTTAAAGAATATAACATTTTTCATGTTTCATCAGCCTTTAACTTAAATCCTGCTTTATAATTGGCATTTCATATACTCGTTTACCCCAAAAAAGCTCTCTGTATTAGTACACTTGTTTTTTTCAGTGTCTGCCTTCAACCTCTATCACTATCACTCTGTAATTTCCCTTCTTATCACACTGAAGCGCTCAGAATGTAGCATTCGTCATGCATAAACCACAAGTTGCATCAGTGCAAAATATATGTAGATGTTCAGGTAAATTGCTTGGATGAAAAGCGCTCCACAATCATGCAGATATTCACTACGCCGGTGTCATTTTCCCCCAGTCATTTGCACAGTAATTCATGAATTTTAGCATGCGAGCTGTTCCGCGCACTGAATCATTCATTAGTTCATTGAACTCCGCTTAACACATGAGTCTGGCTAATGACTGTGACACAGTCTCAACGTAAATGCATGTCTTAGAGTAATTATGACAGTTGGCACTATTTCTGTCCACCTCTGCATCTATGAAGCAAATCAGGTATGAAGCAGCCTTGTTCGCGTACTTTATTTCTGCTTTTTGCTCAATGATTTGCATTCAGCCAATCGCCATTTAGCAAGATGGCCAAAAACAGCAGTGGTTTTGTTGAGCTTTTGTAAACAGCTCTTGAGTTATGATATTACTGCGGCTGTAGGAGTAGAGATTGGCTGTTTGGTGCGGGAGTAAATGTAGCTTGCGGTGAGTCATCCGGGCTGTTTGCTCGACATGACTTAATAACTTAATAACTCGCATGGGCTTGGTGATCTGGAAACGATGTGATATGCATATACGACACAAACTGGCTCCGGATCAAAAGACGGCAGCATTTCATCAGGAACTACTCCAGTAAGAGCTGGGTGGCACTTACATGACATCCATTTTAAGCTATGAGTCGTAAATAAGCCCACTGATCTGGAAAGAGATGTCACTGTTAGAAGTGAGGTTATTGGTAACATATTAATTAGTGGGCCAAATTTGTAATGTATTAATATCATATGACTTTGTATATGACTTTTGTATTTTACTTTGCTTTTGTTTGTCTTTTTGTTTTGCGTTTTTGCTTGGATCTTTTGTATTTTTGCTTTGCTTTTTTACGTTTTTTATTTAATTTTTGCGCTTTTCGTTATTTTTTTGTTTGTTTTGCTTTGGTCTTATGTATTATTTTTGTTTTTGCATCGTCTGGTCTTTTGTTTTGCTTTGCTTTTGTGGGATTTTGTGCTATGCTTTGTTTCATCTTTTTGTTTTTGCTTTTATTTGCTTTGATGGTTTGTATTTTTGCTTTGCTTCATAATGTTTTCGTTTTTTTGCTTTTCTTTAACTTTGCTTTTTGCAATTTTCATTAGTTTTTTGTTGG